GGCATTCTTCTTAGCACTCATCTGTCCCCTCGCCTGTCTAACAGAAGTGTGTCACTGTCACCTGGCTGATGTGATGATCCAGGAAGATCATGTGCTTGGAACTCCATGTGACACGAACTGTAAAGGTCAGATATAGCTAAGTTGTCCAAAAGCCGTCAGCTAGTGGTATGACTTTGGACAAGTTAAGCCACCTATATGAACTTCGGTATTAAAATAAGAAGACTGGAAACTATGACTTATGAGGTCCTTTTCGTCTTTGAAATTCTTTTAAACTTCCCTGCTGTCAAACACCTCAACTGTCTTCTTTGGCAAGGCAGGAGCCATTCCACGAAGCTCCCATTGAAAAGGATAAAGGGAGAAATTGGCGGAGTTATGATCATAGCCAGTTTTGCTACTGCCAAAAGAAGAACAGCAGTGAATTTTTTAGTTTCTCAGAGGACATGCAGTGTCTGAAAGTCATCTTCCTTCTTGTATTTTCCAAAAAGAAAAGTGGAAGAGCCATCACATTCTGTGCATAACTTTTCTACTTATAGATAGAATTTTTAATGCATTTTTTTCTTTCCTGGAGGTGTAAGGGAGAATTCCCATAGCTGGAGGCATGTGTAAGTCAGGGGACTGTGGGAGAATGCAAGTGTGATTGTGGGGCTACACTTAATTCATTAAAATGTGTGGTTTATGAAAATGGTTTTGCCAAAAATGAGCTTTGTGGGAGGGAGAAGGCAGCAGGGATATGGATGGGGGTTGGTGGGAGGGAGGAGTAAGAAGTGCCAAGAGAGAAAAGAGTCTTATTTGTTGCTAAATGTTGAATCCCGCATAAGAATGTGTCGTGAGCCAATTCCAGGAAATTATAATGCAATTGGGGGGAGTGTAAATCTATTAGGCACAGATATTATGTGTTGACATTATTATTGTCCTGTTTTTATACTAACTGTGAATATTCTCCAATGACTTAAGAAAGCTTGAGGAACGTTCTTCTGAGTTAGCCTCCCTTCTCATTTTTTACCTTTTATCAAATCAAATGGCAGCAATATAAGGACATTGTGCTTTTTTTCCTTTCTGTCTATACTGTGAATTATTTCAGAAGCCAACTATATTCGTGAGGGTAACACTGGCAGCTGTAACAAACAAACCCAAACGTCAGTGACTTAACACAACAGGAGTCTGTTGCTCCTTTACGGAACAGTCCAATGCAGGTGTGTCTGGCGGGCACACAACTTTCTCAATGAGATAACTCAAGAATTAAGGAGCCTGACATCTTGTGGCTTTGCTGTCTCCTAGGAACTTAGTATACAGCCATGGAAAGAAAAAATGAGGGTGGAGAAGCTACACCTTCTTCTTAATTGCTGTGGCTCAAGAGTGACAAATGCTAGTTCTACATGTATTCTGTTGGCCCAGCCCAGATGCAAGAGGCTGCTGGAAGTAGTCTCTGATGGGGTCGTTTCTGCCCAGCAGCAGCATTTCACTAGGGAAGGAGGAGCATGAATGTTGACAGACAGCCATCCTGTCCTGCCCACTTCACTCTCAGACTCTAAGAAAAATGGCAGCACTTCCTTGTCCGTTGAGTGTAACTTTTCCTCTAAAGTCCTTCAAAGCAGAGCCCTAATTCATCTCCTCTGTGAAATGCATGATTCTGAGGGAAGATCCCTCACAAGTACTATCGGCCTCACTACACATCTGCCTCCAGGCTTTCCCCTGATCCGCCTCCACCTCTGTTTGGAATCCACTTCCTTTCAGGTACCAGCACCCAGCCCCACTGGTTTCTTCTTACAGTCTTTATGCCTTCGCTTGTTTTTACCCCAGGGGTCTCCTCTCTGAGAGATATTTCTTTGAAAAGCTTTGTCTCTACCAAAGGCATTCCAAGAATTGACAAACCAATGGGGAGATAACTTTTCTTTAAGAAACTCTCGACAGTCAGAGACCTCAAACATACCAAGGACATCCCTTAATGTGCCTGTACTTACCGGTCACCAAAGGGTTTCCCTTCCTCACTCATAAGGCAGAGGAAAGCGATTCATAATAGCCTCAAACTGTAAACAACCTAAATGTCCATTAAATGGACAGTAGAATGAACAAATATATTGCGATGTATTTGTAGAACAGAATACTATATAGCAACGAAAAGAAATGAACTCCTGTTATACACATATACATGAAAAACTTTCAAATAAAATGTCAAGTAGCCAGACCTGAAAGAATATATATAGTGTATAATTCTATTCATATGTGGCCCAAATGCAAATAAAATGAGCCTGTGGTGTTATAAGTCAAGAGTGGTTACCTTTGGAGAGAAGAGGAGTGGTGGTAATTGACGGGAAGCTGCCGGGGATTTCTCAGGTGCAGATATTGTTCTGTTCATGGACCTGGGTGGTACTTACACAGGTGTGTTCATTTTGTGAAAGCTCACTGAGCTGTAAACTAATGATCTATGTGCTTTTCTGTATGTATGCAATACTTCATTTGAAAGGTTTTCAAAGTCTATCGGAATAAAAGAAAAGAAGAACACCGCTCTTCTTCCAGCTACCTGTTTCAACCCCCAAAGTAGGGCAAGGCACAGTAGCTGTATAGATGCTTAGGTGAGATTGCAAAGCAGCTGGACAAAGAAACAGGACTTGGAGACGCCCACACATTCAAAGACCCAGATGGCTCCAGTATATTAGACGTAAAAAGGTCATCTGGGCTAGTGATCCAGTGCACAGAAGGAGTAGTTTCTGAATACATCCAGAGGGGTTCATCTCAGAATTATCGGGTTGGGAGAACAGAATGAGGTCACGACGTCAGAAGAACCATAATGCAATTCTGTGCTTCTAGCAGTGGTCCCACCTTGGTCTCCCTCTTTCCTGCCAGTCTCCACGGTTAAGTCTCATGGGAAGTGGTTTTACTCACAGGACACGTGGCTTTCCGTACCGGATGGCTCAGACTTAGGTTTCCCTAGAGATGGGATGGATTGATTGCGTACATTTGGAACTCTGTTGTTTCAGTGATATGCAGTAGCTGAGAACTCCGTCCCAGAGCCCTGGAACTTCAGTCTTCATAACATAAAGGGAACTTGACCTCCCCAGTCAGAGTAGAAGAATAATTACTCCATCTCCTTCATAGTCTTCTTGTCGAATCCCTGAAATCTTAGGAGGTCTCTCATGGAGACTTCCTAAATTCATTTCCTCTTAAGTATTCCACAGCAGCTAGAACGATTATTGGTGCTGGGAATTTTCTCTGATGGAGATACAACTGCTCCTCTGTCAGAGTCCAGTGGAAGCTCACCTCAGTGCCATGTTTTCTTTAGCTTTGGCGGTTGAGAGAATGCCGACAGGAGGACAAGCTGGGGAAGTTCCAAACGTGTCACCTTGAGCGTAACTTAGAAAAAGCACAGGCTTTGGAGTCAGACAGATCTAGGTTCAAATACAATGTCCAAACATCACCAGAGGCTTGACCATGACCAAATTACTTAATTTCACTTAGATTCAGTTTCTTCAATTATAAAATAGTGTTTATTTTAAAGAGATGCTGTATGTGAAACATAAAACAAGCTATGTAAAGTTCCTAGTACAATGACTGACCGAAAACAATCATAATGATTGATAACAACACTTCACTAGCGCTTGTTATGTACCAGGCATTGTTATAATTGTCACAACAATCCTATGAGATAGGTCCTGTTAACAGCACGAATTTATAAAGGAGGAGGAAGCACAGGGAAGTGTATAACTTGCCCCAAACGGCAGAGCCAGGACGCCGACCGAGGCAGCCAGGCACATGGCCTGTGTTTGCTCTTTTCCACACCAAACCGGTTTCTTGCCCCTAAAGTGCAGCAATAAAACATGGATTACTTGCTTAAAGAAACTCTTCTCTTCTCCCCTTTCTCACAAATCTTAATGGCATATCTAATTTTTACAGTTAGAAAGAGAGAAATTAAGGGCATCCCTATGTGTTTTCCCCCTGGATCTTGTTTTCACCTCTTCGGTGAAAAGTTTTAGAGAACAGGACTGCTTTGGTAAGCTCCGCTGTCATCCACAAGCACACATTGAGCGCCTATGGCATGCCAAGCACTGTGCTGGCTGATGGGGAAACAGAGGGGTGAGTCAGACTCTTCCCTCCTTACCCCTCATGTTCCTCCCCATGGGAGCTCAGAGGAGCAAAGACCAGAGAATAAGGCCTCAGACTGTGGATGGGCCGTCGCTCATGCAGCCCTCCCTCCTCAGCCCACTTCCAGAGAGGTCTGTGTGAATCCCTGACTAAACCCAGTGCCGACTTATGCCAAGAGAGCCTTCCTTCTCCAGCCTGGATCGGCTTTGCTGGTTTGCTCTCGAAACAGCAAGCACACTGTTTCTACCCCTAGACGTACTTGCCAGCAGGAGCTCATGGCCTTCCAGAAATTACTTTGCTTTTATATAGCACCTTTTCATTTTAACTCCCTTCCCTTTTTTTTTTTTTTTCCCCATCAAACATTAATTAAAACACGATGGCAAGCGCAGAATTCACTCACCCTGGCAAGAAAGGAAAGAGAAAGGAGAAGAAAAGAAAAAAACACATTTCATTGTTTGCCACACCTGGAGTGGCCGAGTCCTCAAGAGTTGGGCTGAGGCTGGAATTCAAGACAATCCCTCCTCCAATCCAAACACTCCTGCTGAGGGTGGCCATGCCTCACTGGGCCTCCCTCGGGTCTGCGGGTTGTGGGGAAAGGCCAGGCCCTGAAGGGCATCCCGAGCACAACTTGAATAACTGACTGCGTACACAAGGTGCATCCTGTTGCTGCCCACGGCCCCCTTCTCCCTCATGCCACCTTTCTCCTTCCCAGGTAGCTTCTCCTTCTCTTGACAAACCTAAGAAGCATCCTCTCTAGGATTAGAACTTGAGTGAATACCCAGGTCCCAGTCCACCGGGAAGAGGCCATTAGGCCTTGACAGGTGAAAGGAAGCAGAAGATCTGGGATTTGGAGAGTTTGCCCTACGCCTCTCTTCCTGTTTCTCCCTCCCCTCTCCCGACCCCCCCCCCCCAAGCCCTGATATGAGTGGTGTGTCAGGACTTCGGAGCATTTGCCTGTAGTTGTTCTGGTCCAGTCTTGTGTTTTCACATGTTTCCAGGCTTGGGCCAAGACCGACAGTGGTCACAACAAGCCCAAACTCTCCTTCGTGACGTGCGGGAACTTTCCTGGGAGATGTGTCATGTTGAAACCAATGTTGACGTTTCTGCTCAACTAGATGCTCTTGGAGATTACACAAAGGGGAGGAAGGACAAGCTTGAGGAACTGGCGTTCTCCCAGTTTGCACCATTTTCTTCCCTGTTTGCGTGGCGTCCACGGCTGCCTGATCTGCGGAGCAGCAGGAGTTACTCCCAAGGCTCAAAGGGCTGGGAGGGAGGAGAGAGTTGACAGCCCCAGCAGGGGAGCGCGTGGGGTTTTTGTACAGCTTCCCTGAGCTACAGGATTGATTTTCTGCTGGAGTCCCCAGGTATCAATGAACCTACAGTCCTCCTTCCAGGAATTATCAGACTCTGGGGAGACAATAAGAAAGGAACTGAAACTATTTTTGAACGGGTTTCCGAAGTCTGTGAACGCCATATAAGGCCCCCATTGGCTTTCATTTTTGCTGGGCTAAAGGGACGGGGGAAACATGAGGTGATTATATGGTTGGAAGCTTTGGCCAAGGCCTATGTTACTCTGAATTAAGACGTAGGAAGCAGAATTTCCCCCAGGGCCCTGGGGCTGACTTTGAGTTGAGATTTCGCAGAAGACCCTGTAGAGTGGGAGAACAGTTGCCTGTTATGCTTGTGCAGCAGAACGATAGACTCTTTCACTCTAAGGATCTTTAAGGGATGATCTAGGAAGCCTGAACTTTAAAGACATGAGAAGCCATCTGAGCTGAGGGGAAACCGGGTTGATTCTGGGCCTTAGAACAAACATTGCCTCCCGTGCCTTGTCTTGTGTCTTACTTAGGTTAGATTCCCCAGAAGCGAACACTGAGTGATTCGTTTAAGGAATGTCCCCAGGAAAATCTGGTAGAAGGTTTGGAAAGTCAGCCCCGGAAAGGAAGGATGCTGGGTAAGTGTGCAACATGGCGCAAAGCCCCAGGGAGGGAAGTGGTGAGGTGTGACTGACACTCTCTCCAACGTCTCCCTATGGCCTCCACTGTGCTCCTGATTAGGGCCCAGGGAAGTATTTACATCCTCCTCCCATCCGTCATCCACTGGTTAAGGGCTGTCATCCCCGGAAGGATGCAGATTCTCATTATTACTTTTTTTAAGCTGGCATAGCAGTTCCAGAACCCTGCGGGTAGCCCTCTGACAGAGAGACACAGGTGCTGCTTGACGCACCTGGAGCTGGTGTGCAGGAAAATGAGAAAAGTTTCCCAGGGAATGTGGGCAAGCACTGACCACATCAGCTATGTCTCGTCTGGACCCAACAGCCTTAGGCTGGCAGGTCATCACAGAGTACGTACAATCATTTGTAAGAGAAGCTCTGCGCGAGCAATCCATGGGGGATCAGGGACGGAGGGACCTAGGTGGTCACTGGTGATTCATGGTGCCCCAGACCCTGCCACTGATCCCAGGGTTGCTGTCAACCTGTGGTCCCCTGCGGGTGTGCCATTTGTCTCAGCTTGTTCTGGTTCCCATGCCCCTGCTTGACTGCATGGAGGTGGGGGTCATGGTGGTGATGGTGCATTAGCTGGAGGACAGCCACGTACATCTCTGTTTTCTCCTCTGTTACCCACATCGGCCAAGAATGCATCAGGCACAGGCTAAAGAACCAGCATATCTTTCTAAACTTCCTGGCCATCCCTCAGCCTGGAGCTCCTACAGCGAAGTAGGAACCATCTGCCCACACCACCCAGAGGTGTGACGAGCTCGCCATCATTAGCAACGGAGCCCAGCACTGCACAGAGACTTCCAAAGGCATGGCCCTCATCTCTTACCCGCACGAAGGAGCTTCTCAAAGCCTGAAGCTCAGCCGTTGGCCTCTCAAGTGTGGCCTGCCTCACGGTGGCCTGCCGGCCTGCAGAGAAACAGAAATCAGATACAAAGGCAGCTCTGGGATCAGTTTTACCTCGTCCTGAAGCCTTGGGAGACCAGAACGGAGTCAGGGAACTGAGGCAATGACCCGAAGCAGAAAAACCCAGACTCCTGGTTCTGTGCAGGTGCAAATCCCGCTGGTTAAGCCACACCACCGCGGGCCTCCAGATGCTTGTCGAGCCTCTGCCTCAGACTAAAAAATGATCGCTCGTTTATAAACAAACGTAAATGTATTTTTAACCTGCCTCAGAAAACCACCTTCCTGTTGGGTTTCAGGGCAGTCTCGCCACGTCAACTGGCAGAGCACAAAAGCAACTGCAACTGCTTGGAACTTTCCACCACAGACGGGCGATGGTGACCCCAGGTGACATCTGACTGCATTGCCAAAGTGACTTTGGGTTGAGAGATTAGAATCTCTAACTGCTTTGTGGTTTCAGGAGGCAAGGGGGGCCAGAACCTAAGACAGTGGTGAGAGCCTAAAAATTCAGGGTGAATCGCCCCAGGAAGATCCACTCGTCTTGAGGGTCATTCGTGTGGCTTCCTGAGGAAAGCTGTCTCAGCGAGAGCACGATACCGTTGAAATGTTGGGCTGCGGAAACACAGGAAGCCCATCCCTCAGCCGGGCAGCTCACTGGTGGCTGCTTCCAGAGGGGGTGACATTTCACCCCCCAGGGCAGGTAGAGAGCAAAGAGAAACTGGCCAGCTGACACCGATCTGGGAGAATGTGACATTATAAAAACTGTATTTTCTTTTAAAGGTGTGTACACGGCAGATGAGCCCTAAGTCACAGCTTATAGCTAATAAAATAACACTGTGTCCCTGCCAGGGTAGTCTTTTTCTAGCTCACTGATCAGACATCGGACACCGCTTCCCGTTCCTTGGCACTCACTATTATTCCATGAAAGGAGGAGATGGGGTCAAATAGGAATTGCACTGAGGGGGCATTGTATGCTTTTCTGTGTGGTCCACACCCCCGGGAAGCAGAGAGAGGGATCATTAGGAAAATTGGTGGATAAAGAAGCAGCGATATGTGCCCAAGGTCAGTGGCTGGGTAAGTGTCAGAGGCATTTGCTGGGCACCAAAGTTAAGGTCGTTTGACTCTTAGGTGCTGCTTTGGTGATGACCTAATGCTTCCTGTTCTTCTGATGAAACGGTGGAAGCTAGTCCAATGGAACAAGCACGAAGCCCCCTCAGGAGAGCAGAGCCTGAACTCCCAACCCCAAGTCCATTCACAGCCTCCCACCTCTGCCATTGGAATGGTTTGGGAGGCTCCTTCGCTTTGGCCTTCAGCCCCGGACAGTGTAATTTCTCTGGGTGGAAAGAGGAATTCCTCTCATGGTGCCGACATCACCCCCTTTCTTCTCACCCCGAGGAGACAGCAGAGAGGGGCAAAAGTGAGCCTGCCCAGGGACAGAGTTTTGAGACGTGAGGTAATGTTGGTTCCCCATCCATGGCAGGAACCAGAGGGAGCCTGGCCGGGGTCCTGAGGGAGAAGAGGGCCAGCTTGGAGATTTTCTTTATGTTTGGCCTGGAGGAGTTCCAACCTTAAACTCAAATGAAAACTTTAGAAATGTTATATGACCAAAGTGTGCATGTGTGTATGTTTGGGGGGTAAAGATGGGGGTAGAGGGATTCGAGGGGAAGGAAGGTAGCCACAGTGCAGCTAAACTCAACACCTAAACCTCACCTGCAGCATTCAGACCCTTATGACCCCCACCAAGAGGACGGAGCCTTACTACCCCGATTCTCGGATTTTGTGTTTCAATCATACACTGGTCCAGGGATGTGACTGGTACACCTGGGTCCCCGTTGTCCACTTGACACTAACATGGTTGCTAACCTCCCTTAAATCTCCTCACCTCTCTGACCCTCAGCTTCTTCAGTCATCCGCTAGAGGTCCGAAGCAGGCAGCAGGCATCTTTCCATTCAAAGAGTGCGTGCGGTTCGGGCACAGTCAATGGCACGTGGTTTTTGAGCGTCAGCCTCCTATGCTTCCAAGATGGATTTGAAAATGGGAAATGTTAAGCGGCTCAGTGCATTTCATTTTCCGTCTTTTTCAAAAGACCCTTCCTGTTTCAGACACTGCCTGTGTGTGGTGAGTATGTGTGTGTGAAAGCATATGTTTGCAAAACGGATGAAACATTTGCGTATAATAGCATTTTCACAGCAGTGAGTATAAACTGGGAGAAACTTATCTTCTGCACGTGATTAGGAGTGGCTTTCCGTGGGTGTCTGTGAAATGACAGATTGTGCAATTTTTAGAAAAAAAAAGTTTATAGGAAAAAGCCCTACACAGGCAATAATGTTTTGACCTTGAGGGGAAAAAATATGCTCGTTTGTTTATAGAAAATAAACTCCCCTCCAAAGTTTACGTTCAAAAGAACCTTGGTTGGCTGCTCATAAATAAATTGAGAACAGAATTGTTGATTACTGAGTTTAATGTTCTTTTACTAAAGTGAAAATATTGTACGTAATTAGATCAAGAAGAGATTTCAGAAGAAAGGGTGACGATTTGAGTAATCACAGAGTCAATGCAGGCACGTTTTGATTTTATTAGCCAGCTATTAGAGCCGTCTTTGGCATTTATGTGTGACGCGAAGGGTAAGGATGTAGCTGTTGAGAGTCATTTGTGTCCGCTGTCTGGACTAATTGAGCGACAATAATAAAACGCTGTTTTTAGATAAACAATGGGTGGCGGAGCTCCATGGGTCCCTGCAGGGAGCGTGTTTATGCCGTTCAAAGGGCCTACGGGCAGGGAGCGTGTTTATGCCGTTCAAAGGGCAACGGGCTGAGCTCGTAGGCCACAGTCATTTCACAGAGCAAAGTCAAGTCGTTTAAATCAACTAAATTGAAGGCAGTTTTGAAATGGAAATCAGTGATCCCAGTTTGGAGCCGCTTCGTTGTCAGCGGGAAGATCCTCTTCCAAGTCTTGTGCAAAGCGAGGAGGCCCCTGAGTGACATTAGCAATACAGGGGAATCAAATGCCGCACGTCACGTGGGTTGTGTAGCATGTGGACACCCAGTGGGCCGACATGGAAATATCATCGTCAACCCAACTGCCCACTTCCACACCCTCCCTCCTTTGCAGAAACTAGATGGACCCGTGACAGACGGACAGTCTGAAGGTCCCACGAAGGATTTAAGTGGGTGACTGTCGCTGTCCCACCCAGTGGGAAGGCATTTCTCCTCAGGACCATGAGCTTCACCTACTTTCTCTCTGCCCCTCAAATGTGCTCCTTCCTTCCTTCTCCCTCCACGCCCTTTAGACTACAGAATGTCTAGGTGTGAACCTTTACTCTGTGTAGAGATTAAGATCTCTGGTTACAGGCTAAGAGCAGAAAGGCACTCACAGGCTGGTCTTCTTAAAAGGTCACCTCTGGGCTTCCCTGGTGGCGCAGTGGTTGAGAGTCCGCCTGCCGATGCAGGGGACACGGGTTCGTGCCCCGGTCTGGGAAGATCCCACATGCCGCGGAGCGGCTGGGCCCGTGAGCCATGGCCGCTGAGCCTGCGCGTCTGGAGCCTGTGCTCCGCAACGGGAGAGGCCACAACAGTGAGAGGCCCGCGTACAGTAAAAAAAAAAAAAAGGTCACCTTGTCTTAACGCAGGCTCACACAACCTCCAGGCTTTTGTAGACTCCCAGGGGTGGCTGGGAGAGTTTTAACACCTCTCTCTTTTCAGCCATCGGCCTTCCCCAAGCCAACTCAAATAACCACATGTTCCAGGGAGAAGCAGTGTGTTTGCCCGGTCAACACAGCTTCAAGATAGGTTTGCTACACCCCACAAGCTAAACCGCATCCATCCCCGTCCACCATTATAAAATTTTCTTGCCGCCACCAAGTTTTAAGAAGCTGGGTAGAGTCCACTCACATTTTCATTCAACAACCCTTACTTGAGCACCTTCTGGACACCAGGTCCTGTGCTGGTTGCTGAGGAGACATCCTCTCATAAGACCAGCCCATGGAAGCTGAGGTCTCGTGGGGAGATAGACATGGAGACAAGCACAATACAATAGAATATTGCCCAGGTGAGGCACGTGCAGGAGGCCATGAGTGGCTTCCTCTGTGTCTTAGCTCATGCCGCTGCAACAAAACACCAAAGACTGAGTGGCTTAAACAACAGACATTTATTTCTCAGAGTTCTAAAGGATGCAAATCCAAGAGAAAGGGCCGGGCAGATTCAGTTCTCAGTGACATCCAGCTCCTAGATTCTTCCCACTCACGTGACACAGAAAGGAAACTCTGGTGTCTCTTCCTCTTTATATAAAGGCACTAATCACATCATCTTCATGACCTCATCTAAACCTAATCACCTCCCAAAGGTCCACCTCCAAATACCATCACGTTGGGGGGGGGTGGTTAGGGCTCCAGCATATGAACATGGGGGGACACAAACATTCAGCCCATCACTCCCTGCCAGTGTACCTAGCTCCAGACCAGCCAGTTCTCTTTTAGGGCTTCTCCTTGGGCCACAGCCCTGACTTTCTAGTCATCTGTGTTTCCCACCCTCCACACCACCATTTCTGCCCACTTCTCTGATCCTAACCACTGGGACAGATTAAAACTACACCTCAGCTGACCCTTCTGAGTGCTGCCCCAGGGGTACATCGCCCAGCTCAGACTGCCTGAAAAGTCTTCGCCCCCTTCTCTTCTAAGTGTCTCTTCCTGATTTTTCCCCCATCTTGGACACATTATAGTACTTTTTTCAAAAAATATCAGTGATGGCTAATTTTATGGGTTAACTTGTCTAGGATATGTTGCCCAGTTGTTTGGTTAAACTCCAGTCTAGATGTTGCTGTGAAAGCATTTTTTTTTTTTTTTAGATGTGATTAACATTTAAATCAGTGGACTTTGAGAAAAGCAGAGAGAAAAGCAGATCACCCTTCATGATGTGGGTGGACTCAAAGGACAAAACATTGAGCCAAAGAGGATTATTCTCAAGCCTTAAAATCTAATGGAACTTACTGTTAGGTTTCAAGCTTTCCTGGGACACATGACCCTTTTTCCTTCTGATTTCTCCCTTTCGGAATGGGAAGGTCTGTCCTTTGACTGTCCCACCATCATGTTTTGGAAGCAGGTAACTTGTGGTCTGGTTTCATAGGTTCTCATACAGAGAGGAATTTTGCCCCAGAGTGAATCATACTCCGATTTCACCCATACCTTATTTAGATGAGATTTAGGACTTAGAGTTGATGCTGGAATAAGTTAAGAATTTCGGGGCTGTTGAGATAAAATGAATGTATTTTGCATGTGAGAAGGACGTAAATTGGGGGGGACCAGAGGGTGGGCCATTATGGGTTAAAACGTGTCCCCCAGAATTCACCTGTTAAAGCCCTAATCTCACAATGTGGCTGTATTTGGAAATAGGGTCATTGCAGATACAACTAGTTAAGATGAGGTCATACTGGAGTAGAGTGGCCCCCTAATCCAACATGACTTCTGTCCTTATTAAAAGAGGTGACTTGGACATAGACACACACACACCAGAGAACATCATGTGAAGACTGGAGCTACGCTGTCACAATCCAAGGAACTACTTGAAGCTAACAGAGAGGCATGGGACCGATTCTTCCCCAGGGCCTTCAGAGGGAGCTTGGCCATCCCGGCATCTCAGTGTCAGAATTCTAATTTCCAGAACTGTGAGACAGTAAATTTCTGTTGTTTAAGTCATTTGTTTGTAGTAGTTTGTTACAGCAACCCTACCAAGCTAATAGTGTCCCTTCCTTGTCACCTCTGCACTGCACACCCCACTGTATCCTCACCTGGAAGCCCACCATGTCACAGAAGGGGGACAAGGAGGTCCTGCCTCTCAGCCCCCTGCCTCTTGGCCTCCCTGACCTCTCCATCCTGCCATGAGCGCAGATATCCCCACGCACAGGATGTAGCCACGTTGGGACTGCTCTGGCCTCACGCCTCACAGCACTCTTAATAATTAAGCCAAACATTGTTAAGTGGAGTAAGCACATTAGAATCTGAAATGTAGGGATCCCATTCCTACTGAAACACCCATTAGTGTAAAAAAAATGAAAGGAGAGAACGCAGCCTCAAAAGTTATGTCTTTACTGAAAATGCTGGGAACATGAGGTCTCGGTTACTCAAAAAGACCCATGTGCTTCTTAACTAGCTCGGATCAGAAAAACCGAATTTATTTCTTTCAAATGAATGCCTCTGATGGATTAGAAATATGGAATAGAATAAGAAACAGCAGTTTAGGAGTTGAGGACCTGGGTTCAAATTCTGACTGGGTTTCTAACCAGCTCTGTGATCTTAGATAAATGACTCACTCAGCGCTTTGAGCATCCTCTTTCTCATCCATAAGTGAAAGCAAAAATGCCTAACTCAAGAGATAGACTTTCCTTTAAGTCACTTATTTTCTCGGGCCTCTGACTCCTGGAAGGGAGGGAGCATTTTAGCATAAAAAACTCAAGTCACGAAGTGAGAAGCCATTGTTGTCAGCATGAGGAAGGTCTGCCATATAGATGCTCCACCGGGAAGAACGTGAAAAACTTAAGACGGCAGGGAGCCCCCGCAGGTCCCCAGGTTGGGGCCGGGGATGCCTATCAGCTCCCCAGAGAGCAACCATGTTTTGTAGGGCCCAGAGCTTAGTCAGTTTGGCAGGGGGAGGCTTTTTGAGGGAGTAGAAATCCTATATACAAATACAAAGGTAGAAACAGGGCCTTGAAGGAGGCTTGATGAATCCAACCATGTCCATTTGGGACACTGGGAGTAGAGCCCAGACCTTGGGCAGTGCAGAGAGAGAAGGGAAAAAGGAGGGAGAGTAAAATAACAAAAAGGATTCTAGAACACCCTTCTAAAGCTGATTCAGTATGGCTGGAGCGTCAATGTTCATCCATTCAGGTGTTTGTAACTGACTACTAGCAAGATCAAATTCTTTTTTTTTCATTGTTGTTCCGTTTTCTTTCTCCTGTTAACTAGCTGGCCCCACGTGCCTGCTCAGATCTGAAAATATTTTGTCTATCTCTCTACTTT